TAACCGAAGTAACCAAAGTATCATCCATTAGATTTCTTAGCTCAAGTAGATCTTCATTCTTCTTCTTCTTTCTGAAAGTGTAAATATGTCATTCCTCATCCAAAAATTGTTGTTCATTCGAATAAGGTGGTAGGGCTGTAGTAGAAAGATTGCCAACAGTTGTACCCACTATAGGTTCTAGTGTATGTGAAGTATAAGTTGTCGCCTCTACACTAGATATTTCTTGAAGATGGAGAGCTCTAAGGTTCTCCTGATTATCAGTCCGAACACTATCCTTTATAGGCAAGGATCCTTCAATACTGTTTTCAGGGTCATCCAACATTACAAAAATTGCAGAAACAGTATTGTTAGGGTGGGGGTCCACAGGGGTAATTAAATCAGACATCAAATCATTTTCTATGATAGTTTTCTCTCCAGGTGGAACAGATATGTACAGAGCAATGGGTTAAACTCATCCTTATTCATTTGATCTTTAAATTTCAAATTAGGATGGAGCTTATGACATTATCAAGGGTATACCAAAAATCTTACAATGACAACAATAAGAAAGTTTATGTTTCATGACGATTGTTGTCAATATCCATTATGAGCCAAACTTCAGTAACATCAGGTAAAGTAATAACTCTTTCTACAAGTATTCTGACAACACAAGATCTGGTTAAGTTGAAAGTGGGTAGATCTAGCTTCATAGTGTCCCTAAGTATGACCCCAATAGAGTAAAGAACCTAATAATTAAAAAAGTGCAGCTTGAGACTAGGTAGACTAAACCATATCAGTATAATAGGAGATTCATGATTGGGGTCAAAATCAAGAAACCACTTAACTTCATTGACTTGTCAACAATGTTAAGATTTTTTGGAGAAAATCCGAGTGTAGTCTTCAGTCACTGTTAATTGAATTAACACATGTCTCCTATCTATGAGCTCAACTTTCCACTTTCTTGCTAGTTTGAGATCATCAAAACTTTTTCTGATAACTTCCATAGGTGGCCCCAAAGAAATTTTTCAATAAAAGCGAACTTGAATTTCTCAGTCAGGGTTGAAATTTCTAAGTTTGAGAAAAAAAGTATTGTTTTTTCACTTTTCCTACTTGTTTTCTTAACAAAGAGGCAGTCACCTATACTATCACGACAATCCTCATAAATTGTGGGCATAAGAGACTTTGTCATGTTCAACTAAAGAAGAAGGGAGCGCCATCAAACTCTTGTTGGAAGACCTCGATATAATAGTTGTCTGTGTAGTCCCAAAACCTCGAAAGGTGAACGTCGACGTCGAAAAGAAAGATGCTGACGCAAAACGAGATGCAGACACAGACGGAACCGTCAGTGTCGAAGAACGCAGTAACAATGCGAGCCGACTAAGCAGAGGAAGTGAGGAGCTAAGCGGAGAGTCTACGAAATAGAGGCGAGGTGGATGGATGGATGGATGGATGGATGGATGGATGGATGGATGGATGGATGGATGGATGGATGGATGGATGGATATACAAATCGGTTTGCAAGTTAATCTATGACACTTCACATTCACACCGGGATTGGTTCTGGGGAAAATGGATTTGGCACAAATTTTTAACTCTCTCTATATCTTTTTTTTCTGGCATTTTTACTCTTCTTTACTTCCTGTTGATGACATTCTTAAGTTGAAAAGCCTTAAATTGGCTTCGAGATGTCCTATGTGCAAAGTTTTCGAGGAAGATTCGAGACATAATTTTTTAATGTGTTTTCTCTTTAAATGTTTTGAACGACGCAGACGCGAACGTGTGAAACTGTCGCGTCGAAATCGAAACAGCAAGATGCAGACAGACGGAACCGTCAGCGTCAAAGAACGCAGTAACGATGCAAGCCAACGAAGCAGAGGAAGTGAGGAGCAGAAGCGGAGAATCTAAGAAATAGAGGCGAGCTGCGAGCCCTCTCCTAGCGATAAAATCATAGGCGATGGAAATCATCATTCGAAACCCCAGCAAAGCTCTCGACCGTCATTTTGTTATGTATGTATGTGTGTGTGTGTGTATATATATATATACAAATCGGTTTGTAAGTTAATCTATGACACTTTACATTCACACCGGGATTGGTTTTGGGGAAAATGGATTTAACACAAATTTTCAACTCCCTCTATATCCTTTTTTCTCTTCTTTACTTCCTATTGATGACATTCTTAAGTTGAAAAGCCTTAAATTGGCTTCGAGATGTCCAATGTGCAAAGTTACCGAGGAAGATTCAAGACATATTTTTTGAATGTGCTCTCTCTTTAAATGTTTAGAACTTTTGGGGCTTACATTTTGGTATCCCCTGGATACATACAGGCTTATTATGTAATTATTTGTGGCATTGGAAGGGTTTTGATGATAGGGGGGAGGGTTTCCCCTTCAGGGGGGAGGGTTTCCCCTTCCTCCCCTTTCTTTACTGGTCATATGGTTTATTTGGACCTCGAGAAATAGCTTTAAATATAATTCTTCCTCTCCTCCTGCTTCTATGACTGTTTCTTATGTGTTGGCCTATTACACCAAGGTCCTCAGGGTTAGTTCCAATGATGTTTCGAATTTTAGGCCCCCTCGTTTAATCATGTGGGCTCCCCCTTCTTCTGGATGTGTTAAAGTAAATGTGGATGGTAGTTGGAACCATTTATATGTTGCAGTTGGAGGCATATTTAGAAATTCTTAGGGTAAGTGTATATGTTACTTTATTTCTCCTGTTGCTGCTGACAATCCATTAGCCACGGAATGTTGGGGGGTTTTTCTGACCTTAACAGTGGCAAGTGCTTTTAATTTTCACATGATTGAGGTGGAGACTGATTCTAAAATGCTCTATGATATACTATTGAGTATCTCTCCTCCTCTTTGAGATATTATATGCATCTTTAAACGTATTTATGCTTTAATTTTTGAAAGTCACTTGGAAGTGAGTTGGAGTTTCATCCATAGAGATGGCAACTCCCCTGCTGACTGGTTAGCCAGGCAAGCAGAGGAGGCGCGTTATGTTGGTATTTATCCCCCTACTCCTCTCAAACATCTCCTCATTGGGGACAACCTGAACTTGTCGTATGTTAGAGTTTAACATTTGTGCTGCTCGGCTTTATGGCTGGGAACTCTCGTTTCTGTACGGTGGTTTGGTTTGCACCTTCCCTTTTGAGGTGTCATTTTTCTTGGCAGGTTTTGGTTTGCATCCTTTCTGGTTTTATCTCCTTGGCTTTCCTGCTCTCACAGTTCTCACTGGTTCCTTGCTGTTGGGTTTTCTCTGCTCAGTTGACCGACATACCAATTGGCAACGCTGCTCACTGAAGTGTTCCAGAGGATTAGGAGTTTTCTGCTGTCAATTTTTGTGGTTTCTTTCTCTTATCCGTTATACACGGGCACAGATTTACTTATTTTTGGATTTTGTTTTCTTTGGCTTGGGTATACCTGTAATTTTGATGTTTTCTTTTTGCGTGAGCTGTACTGTGAAAGGAGGAACCCCAAGGGGTGTGTTTAATTGTATTTTTTTTTCTTTTTAGACGGGGCTTCACACCCCTCCAAATTTTGTACCTTTTTCGTTATATTAACACATAAGGAGCCCCCGAATATTAAACAGGTCAAAAGGTCTAACCTAAATCCAACCCGTCTAACCTAAACCTAACTAATATAACCCGTTTAATATATATGCATAAAAGCAAATTAGGTTAAATTTGAGTTTTATTAGTCATTTTCGAGTCAAATTCAAGTCATTTTTGGATTGGCAAGTCAAACTGAAAACATATTTGGGTTAGCAAGATCAATTTCAGGTTGGCATGTCAACACAAACCCAATCCAAAAAATTGTGTTAAGATTTTTGGCCCAAATCAAATCAAGAAATTAATCGGGTCCACCCAAACCTGAATTTTTTGAGTCAGGATCGAGTCAAGTAGGAGTTTCCGGTAAATTTTTTACACCCCTAAAAATAGTTATTCAACATATATATGGACTCAATGTAATGACCTTCAAATGCACAATCAAAATCATGCATACCTTTCTAATATGACAAAATATCTGGGAAGAGAAAATTTCATTTTAAACATTCCCTCCCTCCCTTCCTATAGAGTCAATGTAACAACCTTCAAATGCACATTCAAAATCATGCATTCCATTTTAATATGACAAAATCTCTAGGAATAGAAAATTTCATTTCAAACATTTCCTCCCTCCCTTCCTCTATTTATATATAAAGGATTGTGTGTGTGCGTTGAAAAAATATTACATCAAGACTCTACACGTAGAGTTACGTGTGGAGTCCAATGATATCACGCCACACGTAGAGAAAAAAAATTGGCCCCGGTAACACGGGAATATTACCTCGTGTTATTCAGGTGTTATTGTATGTTATTCAAGTGTTATTGATGTGTTATTATAATACCAGGAATATTTTCAGAGCACAATAACACATGAATAACTTACAATAACACCTAAATAATACGAGGGAAATATTCCCCTGTGTTACCGAGTCGATTTTTTTTTCTCACGTGGCGTGATTTCGTTGGACTCCACACATAACTCTACGTCCGGAGTCCTGATGTAATATTTTTTCGTGTGTGTGTGGTGTTGTGTAGGGGGTTGGGGGGGTTGTGTGTGGGAATTAGACAAGTGTAGCACAACCTTTACAAAGTCACTTATCATAAGAAAATAGATTTGAGACAGCCCTAAAGCAGTCAACAGGATTTAAAACAAAGAAATTAAAGGGCAGTGATTGTAAAAGAACTACAAATGTTTTTCTCATATTTAGACTAACCATCAAGCTATTGTCTTAAGAATAATAGAAGCAAAGCTAGGTAATCTAGGTAAATCATAAATTTTACTCGAGCTTAATTTGGTGCAAGAAATCAACATAGGTAAACTTGACCTCTCATAGAAATCATTCAAGTACAGGGTACAGACGTAGAAAATGCACATGGAATTCCCTGTTCACATGGAAAAACGGTAATAGTTCCACTGACACAAATACACGGATAGTTATACCCAAGTAGAAAATGTAAGCATCAAAAAACAAATACCTTTTTTGTTTTCTTTGAACCAAATTTTCGATAAAAAAATCTTTTGAATTTCTTCCGATAAGCACTTCTACTTAGCACCTGACCATACCAGTATAAGCAGGCATCATTCACAAAATAACCAAAATCCAAAAGAATGAAAATTTGTTGAGCAGTACTAAGATCACGTTAATTAGAAAGGACGAAGCTAGGTAAATTCAAATTACAAGTCATAATTTGTTTCCATAGCATGTTAAAAGAATCGACATCAAGTTTGAAAGATAAGCCAAAAACATGAAGTAAATTTTAGTCATAATCTATAAAGTTTACAACAATGTACGTGCAAAATTGTCAAGAGAGCATAAAGGTGCTCACCAACTTTGTTTTCATGCTATATTGGTCAGGCTGAATTTTATAATTATTTATTTATTTATTGTTTTGCTAATTTGAATTAATAAAGAATAAGATACTTTTATCCTAAATTAATATTTTAGTTCCATTATATATAGGACCTAAAGCATGGTCCTTAATATTATTGTTTTGATAGGTTCAATAAAAATTTTTTGTAGCCTTCGTTTAAGGTCCCAATTTCTCTTGCACTATAAGAAAGCAGTTAATTAGCACATACACTTGTGGCAGACAAGTTTCAGTTCCAAACATTTGCATCACATTAGTGGCCGATTTGCGGCAATCGTTATTAAGGATGAAATTTGCGTCTCACATGTTGAAGCTAATATTTAGTCCTGGGCTTAGCGGTGACATTATTCCTCATTATCTTTACCACTTAATTGTGGCAGCAGTACAAAAGTTAAGGTCAAGGCAAATTACATAGCATCATACGTAGCTGACTCAAATTCGACACCAAACCCTTAAAATCTAAACTCTTGCCCACCAGGCTCATTCGCACTCTTCGTTGTTCTTGAAACCTTGCCTCCCCGCGATCGTCAGACAAACCAGCAGCCTTTCAGCGAGCCCATGATCGCTCTTCTCTAATGACCACAAGACACCGTCCCACACACTTACGACCTCTCCTCTTCCTTTAATCCGAGCACTCAGATGAAATTTTCCTTTTTCCCCCATATATAATTTGTTGATTCTTTCAACTTTTCTTTGCCGAATTAATCCATAATGTTTTAAGTTTATGTATTAGGATTTAGCAATGCCTTAGGAAGGTGTTTGGCTGTATGTAGAATTTAGAAGTTAATATTTTGTTGTCTACTGGTTTTCATTCTTTTGTGTTGTTCTTAGCGACGTCTAGGATGTGGGAAAGCCAATGTACCTATCGAAAGTAGATCTTTTGTATCTTGCTTGTTTGTATTTGTTTTTTGCATGACCAGCCCTTATTTGACTTATTTGTACCCATCGATTGTCATTTTGTCGTGATTTGTTCGCTGATTTTGGTTGCAAGACGTATCAAATTGTTATAAGAGCATAGATCTTGGCAGGGTGACAACATAGAAAGTGGATGTGCTAGAAGAAGAGCTAGAGAAAATCAAATCAAAAATGGAAGAGAAGTTAGCCACTATAGAGGACCAAGTTTCTTCCATTGAAAGTCGTGGAATTGCTTCAGTTGCAAATCCTAGCCAAAGGTTGATCAGAGAATCCGTGGCTAGGTCAAAAGGGAAGAAGATCGAGTGATAAGACAACGAAAAAGATATCATCGACCTACAAGAGCGTCCTCCTAGGACTCCAAGAGGAAAAGGGAGTGCAGATTTCCGATGGAGGGGGATGGGCCTAAAATTGGAGCAGAGATGGTGTAAGGAACACAGAAGAATGCGAGGGAGGAAGGAGGGATTTGGGAGTGGGATATGCCTATGAGCGATGAAGAGAGTTACACCCTACATACATGACGGGAAATACCGGGGGAAGAGAAGGTTGGGCTGGAGATGCAAGGGTTAGAAAACTGAAAATATTAATCTCCAAAGGGGATGATGCACATGAATGGGTGTATCGGGTAAAGCGATACTCTGCAATGAATGAGTTAACTGAGGAAAGAAGATCATGGCAGCGAGATTGTGCTTGAAGGAAAAGGCTTTAGCATGATTTCAGCTAATAGAAGCAAGGTATCCAATGCACTCATGGGAGGAGTTTAAGGATTGCTTGTTGGAGTGTTTACGAGCCCTTCAAGAAGGAAACCTGCACGAGCAATTCTATGCTCTTACTTAGGAGGGTAAAAGTTTGAGCTCTTCTCAGAAAGGTTGAGGGGGATTTCTTCAGGTGGACTGGAAGGGAATTTCTTGAAAGGCCTAAAGCCCGACTTATGAGCAGTCATCCGCCCATGATGGAGCTCGCCCAGATGATGGAGGATAAGAAATATGTGAAGAAAACTAGCAAAGGCGGCAACATCGGAGAATTATACAAGGGCACCTTGACGGGTACGACACCGAGGACCCAGACAGTATCATTTCAGAAAGAGAAGCTGAAAGAAATGAATGCAGTACCCCGTCCTAGGGGTAGTTTCAAGCGCCTAGTGTGAGCCTTTTTTTCCAATCCGTCCTTATGGTGAAAAAAACAGAATGGTAAATGAAAATTCTTAGTGGACTACCGGGCTTTGAACAGAAAATAGTCCTGGACAAGTTTTCCTATGCTTGAGATTGATGAGTTACTGGATGAGCTTTGTGGGGCAGTTATTTTCTCAAAAATTGATTTTAAATCGGGGTACCACTAGATCATTATGAATCTAGTGGATGTGCACAAGACAACATTCAAGGCACATGAAAGACATTATGAATTCTTAGTAATGTTGTTAGGCCTCATCAACACCTCAACGACATTTCAATCCTTCATGAATATTGTTTTTCAATCTTTCCTTCGAAAATTTATCCTGGTTTACTTTAATGATATTTTAGTCTATAGTCGTATAGAGACAGAGTATGTGGGGCACCTGAGGATAGTCTTGGAGGCATGAGAAAGCACTAATTGTAAACCAAATTGAAGAAATGTTCTTCTGCATAGTTACAGCTGGAGAACTTAGGATATGTGGTGACCAAAACGGGGGTTGCAGTGGATTAGTCCAATATCGAGGTCATGGTTGATTGGCCTTTACCAAGGAGTTTGAAGGAGTCGAGCTCACGGCTACTACCAAAAGTTCATAAAAGGCTATGGCACGATAACATGGCCACAGACAGAGCAGTGGAAGAAAGACAATTTTAAATGGGGAGGAACAACAACACAAGCCTTTGAACATCTGAAGAGAGCCATGAATTACGTACCGGTATTAGCACTTCTAGATTTCAGTAAACCATTTGTTGTGGAGACAGATGCGCTAGAGTGCGGATTAGAAGCAGTGTCAATGTAGGATACACGATCGATTGCCTACTTCAGTCACGTTCTTACAGCAAAGCGAGGCTAAATTCAGTAAAGAACGAAAATTGATGGCAATTTTTTTGGTCATTAGAAGTGGTGGCCCTATGTTGGGACAATATTCTGGGTCAGGACAGATCAAAGGAGTTTAAATTGTCTTTTGAAGCAGCGGATGGTGACTGAGGAGCATCAGAGATGGCTATCCATGCTATTGAGGAATGATTTCAAGAATCAGTATCAGTCAGGACTGGAGAACAAGGCAGCTGACGCACTTTCGAGAAGAGTGGAGGAACCCCAATTGACAGCCCTATCGGTACCCTTGGTCCTAGATTGGTAGGCCTTGAGACAGGAGAGCGAAATGGATGAAAATTTGAGCAAAATAAGAGCCAAGTTGCTACAAAATCTGAACAGTCATCCAAAATATGCATTGAGAAGACAGCAACTGCTCCGCCAAGGGCGATTCGTGCTAGCAAGTCTTCGGAGTATATTCTCAAATAATTACAAGAGTTTCATGATAGTGCGATCGGATTCAGGGGTGCAGAAGACCTATAGCTAAGAGGAAGACTTCATTGGGTGGGGATGCGCAAAGACACCGAGGATGTGGTGGCAAAATGTGAAGTGCTTGACCACGACATTATGAGGGTTACTATAACCACTAGCATTACCAAGGAAAGTTTGGAAAGAAATAATGATTGATTTCATCGAGGGATTACCATAGTCAGAAAGGTTCACGATGATCATAGTGGTCATGGATTGCCTGAGTAAGTACGCAATTTCATTCCCTTACAGCATCCCTACATGGAAATCTCAGTAGCAACGATGTTTATCCGAGTTCTTTGTTTGCATGAAGTACTAGAATCGATTGTTTCAGATAGGGATAATGTTTTCCTCAGTCACTTCTTGAAAGAGCTTTCAGGTTGCAAGGGACAATCTTTAAGAGGAGCATCGCATATCATCCCCAAACCTATAGGCAGACGGAGATGGTTAACAGGAGAGTGGAGTCATACTTGCGTGGATCCGATACGCCAAAGCTATGGGCCAAACAAATTGCATGGACTGAATAATTGTATAACACATATTGCACCGCATCACAGACCACCACTTTTAAGATATTGTATAGGCAGCATCCACCGCACTTGGTACATTACGAATATGGTGTCACACCAGTATCTAGAGTCGATCAGTACTCAGAGAGGGACAGGATATTAGCAGAGCTTAAGGGGCATTTACTGAGAACTCAACACATTATGAAGAGGAGAACAGATGAACATATGAGAGGTGCAGTTTTAACCAAGGGAATGGTCTACTTGAAACCCGGGCCCTACCGACAGAAAATTTTGGCCATGTCAAAAAGAAGGAAATTTCACCATGATAGTTTAGACCATATGAGGTGAACAAGCAAGAAAATTTCACCATGATAGTTTAGACCATATGAGGTGATGGTACGCATCGAGGAAGTGGCTTATCGCTTGAGGTTACCACCATCGCCCGCAGTACGCCCGGTTTTCCATATGTCATAGCTGAGACGTGTGATTGGAGATCATACACACTCATCTGCACTATACCCGATGCTGACAAAAGACTTGGAGGTGATTTTGCAGTCGTTAGAGATTGAAGGAGTGTGCCAAGAAGAAGGGGAGCAAATGAGGTATTGGCCAAATTAAAGGAGCTACCAGACTATAAAGCAACATGGGAGTCTTACAAGGTCATCCACAAGCAGTTTTTGTCCTTCCACCTTGAAGACAAGGTACTTCTTTTCGGAGGGAAGTAATGTCATGCCCAAGCATGAGCCGGTCAAC